CGATCCTATAACGGCTGTAGCCTGCTACCTTCAGGCCCATCTCCACAGACACTTCTCCTTTCCTCCTTATTGATTTCCCATTTGCCCTCTTCCTCCCTTCCTGTTCTTACATAGCTGGGTGTCTTCAACTGGCAGCTCAGTCTGCAGCCACCTGCTCACGCTGGTTTCTAGCTCACGGAATTTTCTAGCCTATATTTAAGGTCATATGTGCAGTGTCCCAGAAGTTCTGTTACACTTCTGACATTACATCCTGACACTCTGGAGTACATATTCCTCATCATCTTTACCACAGACATGTAGCTTTTACACATAGCACATCATTATTTACTTTCAGTTTGAGATGATGTTTATGTTTGTCCGAGATCTGTCATACTTCCATGCACTCTGAAGCGATATAGGCTTGTATAACTTGGGTTACCATGATTCGAGTGAACCCGGAGCTCAATTAAAAGGACTGGAGTTTCTGGTGGTTCCTGATTTGAAAAGAAATGGTACAGAGTAGAAAACAGAAATCAACAACACTTACATCAAAATTGTCTTATTAATTCAATGTATTGCATTGCTCAGTGTGTTACCTGAATCGTAAAGGTCTGAAGAGGGCTGCCATTGATATCATAGGAGAACTCTCCAAGAAAGTATTTTACATTATTAACGGTATCCAATCCCTATGAATAAATTATGTACATTAGTTCAGTCGTTATTATTGAATATAAAACAGTAACAAGTAAAAAATCAACAAATTCACATGAAGATGAACTAGTGTGGGCCTTGTCTCCACCTAACTTAACTACAAAGATCAATATTCCCTGAATATGATTATGATTGGTTTTAGAGGGTAATGTTATTTTATGCTTAGCTTCTGACATTATGGGAGGAACATATAACGTGCATGTTTGAGAATAGGGCATTGAGGAGAATATTTCGATGAAAGAGAGATGAAGTGATGGAGGTTGGAGGAAACTGCATAATGAAGAGCTTCATAACTTGTACTATTCACCAAATATAATTAGAATCACCAAGTAAAGGATGATGAGACATAGAGGGAAGGTAACAAGCACTGGGGAGAGGAGGAATGCATAGGAAGACCTACACATAGATGGGAAGATAACATTAAAATGGATACCATAAAACTGTATGAAGCACTTACCCACACAAAGAAATCCTTTGGTGCACTGCTTATTTCTTCTGTCGACAACAGGGCACTTGAAGGATGCTCGATTGACACTGCTTTAACATAGACCTCACCAATTAGCTGAATCACTACAGCACCTTCGCCTTCAAATTCCCAGCACTCGCCAGGCACAGCACAACCCTGTAATATAGAGACAGAAACATTATCCAGTATATTCAGTAAACCACCAAAGAACAAAAACGAATTATTAGAGAAATTCTGTGGCAGAGTAAACAGTTGTGAATTTCCAGGATGTTTTTCATAACTCCTCTGGTCTTGCCCATGAAGACATAAGATTTGATGATAATTATCTCTGTTCTTCTTCATGCGGTTGCTGCTGCCACCACCACTGTTGTTGTTGTTGCTGTTGTTGTTGGGCATATATTTAACTTGAGCCTGATGAAGCAGGATTTTCCTGCTGCACTGAAAGGTGCAATATCATGATTAGGCTACAAGTCCTTCATTCCAAATCCTTTCTAATTTGTCTGTCATCATACCATTTAACACTATTTTGACATGTTGCACAGTTATAAAATAACCCATGGAAATAAAGACTAAAGCACTGTAAGTGGACATGTAATGAAACCATATTTCTATGAAGTGACTATTGATACTTGACTGACAGTTCTTCCCAAATTCTTCTCTTCATATACCATGAAGAAAGAAAAATGTAACATGACTCAAAAACTGGTGATAATTTATAAAGTGCTTCACCATCATCACTGCAACAAGCTGGAAATAAACTTGTGCACTAATAATGAATATTCAGAGAACCGCCGAAGAAAAGGTGTAAGGACAGAAAACTGGTCATGAAGCGCCTCCACCAGATGAATGAACGGACCCAGTGTCATGATGGTTGTCGAAAAAAAGACCTGGCCGTTGCCAGAAGAGGGACCAGCCACCGTGCAAAAGTGGCACGGAGAACACAAACCGACTGGAAGGTGTCCCGCCATGCAGCAGTGGCACGACGCAGGAGAGATGCCTTCAAGAAGGAAACAGTTGTCTACACTGTCTCTGCAAGCAGCCTTGTAAGAAGTCTCAACCATTGCGGGATGATCATAACATTGAAAAGAAATCAGCAATGGGCACTGTTGTGCAACGGTCCCGCACCAGCAAGTGGCAGGAAGACCAGGAGGAACGACGATGTCAGCGAGTGCAAGCCACACTGTTACGTCGACAAAGGGAACTTCTCAAGAAAGACGTGGTCAAGGATTGGACACTATGGAGGGGTCGGCCCCCTCCAAAACGGAAAAGAAAACAATGTATAGAGGAGGAGCCTGTAACTCAGAACCACCGGCCTCCCCAGCGACAGTGAATGTGCGATGGATGAAATTGAGGAGGGAATGGGATGCAACGGATCGACGAATGCTGGACCATGGAATTGTTCAGGACGAATAATCTTAAGAAGGGAGATGATGTAATAGCCAGAGAATTGTCACTACAATAGGAGTAGCCGAACCAAAAGAAGATGCAGAAAGCACAGCCTTGAAAGAAAAGGAATGGGAGTGCACTGTTAGGCTGTTCAGTATGAACAACATTTAGAAGGTAGCAGTGTGACGTATTTGCTCTATGCAGAACACCCCCCCTCAAGCTGTGACGTAACATCATCGGAGCAACTGCTGCTGCTACAGTAACAGGCCAGTCAACACTCCATTCACCTCTCCCGCAGTGATGTAACAGGGGACACCGCGGTTACTACGCAGCTATAAACAACTCTCAGCAGCGTCCCCCAGCAATGCCTGTAAAACGGAGTTTACGCAACAGTGAAGCGATGTGGTTTTCCCACTGTCCAACTGAGGATTTATAAGAGTAACTAGTCAGTTTCAATCTAGCAGTCTCCAAGTCGGGCTGTATCGAGTGCATGGCAGTGACTACAGCAGAAGAAGTATTTGTGATAATGCAGATGGCAGTAGTGGTGTAACTGTGAATTGTATAAGTGTAAGAGCAAATGTGGAATAAATTCGCTACATTCAATACGGCATAAAGTTATATGTCACATGGCATTCAACCAACACATGACAATATTAATAAAAACTGGATATCCCTTTTTGTGCAATTGTGAAATGCTAGAAATACTTATAAGAATATCTTATAAATCCAGAAAGTTGTGTCTGTGTGCCCTTTTCCTAATTCTGATTTAATACAGCAAGGTAACCTAGAAAAAACGTTATACACTGTTGTAATATCCTAGATATGGAGACATCAGATTTTATGTGATAGTGGCCAAAAGAAGTGACAGAATTTACCCATGGAATTCTCTGAGCTTTCTTGATTAGAATTTCTACCTGACCTTTCATTCGTTACAAGTTACTTTATGACAATATCAGATAGCTTGAGATTAACCTCTCAGATTAATAAGTATTCAGTCAGTGGGAAAGGAAAATAGGATTGTGAAATTTGAACCTCTGTTTAACTGACATTCAGGCACCTATCTAGATAGGTTAAATTGTGATGTACCGTTTCAAAAAATGTGTGTGTGTGTGTCTTCCTCATAGCTACTACAGTTCTATAAAGAGTGACATGTAAATGCACTGGGAACAGCTTGATAAACACCACGTGATATGTGCATGCAACAATATGATGAATGTTTATAGCTTGTTGCTAGGCAATAGTCAGTGTGCCAATGGACTGGCAAGATAGCTATCAGGTGACTTGTCTTCTGTGTGGTCTGCGCTAAGCAACAATAGAACTGTGCTTTTTGTTGTGTCCATGCCGTGACTATATAACATGAGTCCGCTTGCAGCTAAAGGAGACCAGAAGGTTCAGCAGGTGAGAGCACAAGGACGAGAATGGCGCATGTCCTTAGTGAATTGTGAATATTAATTGAGTACAGATTAGGACATAGGAGAACTGAGTGATTTAAGATGAAATCACAAAGATTCCACTGTGATATGAAGCACTACTTTCTCTGTTGAGATCCACTGCCACGAAATGACTAGTGAACTGAATCCTTGTGCATGCGTAACGGTGAATTGAAAGTGTGTAAATAAGTGATAATGCTGTATTAATTGTAACTAAGAGAGATTTAAAATGAAGTGCCAATAAATCCAGTCATCACAACTAGAACCTCTTATATTTGTCAAATGTACCCCCTACACATGACAAAAGTATACATACCTTAATGATGTTCTGTACACAACGTTCTTGAGTTCCAAAATGTGTTGAATCATGGTCCCTGGTATCATATGTACTTAATATAGTAGCACCTGCAAGTCATGTAATGAAAGCAGACTTTAATAAACATCAAATATTTATAATATTCTCTTATAGTGAATCATTGGAATTGTTTTCTGAAAAGAGAGGTACAACTGGAAGCATGTATATGATTCTCTAATAATTCTCAGAGCTGATAAGTTATTTTCCAGACAGACTGTATGAAAAACATGTTAACTGGCGGTCATCTGAACGTCTTCTTTTTTTCCTACATCTCTCCCATCATAATGACATACTTCTGAAAAGTGTATAGAGGCTACATCATTCAGCGTGAAGACCGGGATGAAACAATTACTTAACCAACTAGCCAGTTAATTCTCTAATTAATTAACCAACTCCCTGGTGCAGTGTCTTCTCTGACAAGTAAACAGATATTCAGCCATTTAAGACATTCCCTGTCATATGGAACACACGAGCTCATTACTGTCAGCAGGACAATTATGAACTATGGTATTTCAGTTCACACTTAATTTATTTCTGTTTGCGTCCCCTGTCTGTCTTGGTACAATATTTAGTATCTATCCATAAAAATTTTGAGTGTACTTTCGTCTTTCAGTATCTGTACTTTCCTGTGAAACATTTCAATTTTGAATACATTTTGGTTATCACTGATTTCATCATTTTTGTCACTAAAACCCTTCTGAAGAAGTGACTAGCTGACTAGTATTACTTCCATTAACTTAATATCCTACACAGGAAAGCAAGTGGAAATTATGCTGATCATAGGCACAGATCTCTGTAAATTTACTGTTATCCATAAGATTCACAAGTTCTCTGAAAGTCTCACTGTCTCCTGGAATGGCCATAATTATTGAAGAATACTATCTTGGAATGTAAAGCCTTATAATCCAGCAGAAGTCCATCAGCATATTGGTGGAATGTACTGCTTCCATCTTCACAACCAAAGACAATCGAAGCAAGAAATTATCACAAAGCAGATAGCAAGCTCTGCTTCCACTGAACTAGGTGATATTACATCCCAGAACCTCAAATCCAGCCTCAATCACTCTTTGTGTGTTCAAATTTGAATATATGTCACAAATTTAATATTTATTTACACTTAAGTGCTTGAAGAAAATGAGTTACCTAAAGTTCCTGAGGCAAAGTTCATTTGTTGTTCCACACTATTGCCATAAAATGAAAGTGCATCTTTAACAATCTTCTTAGAATTATCATCCACCTTGCTGAGTCCATCACATATACTGCCTGGAAATAATACATAATAAATTTACTTTTATTAAACTACATTGCACAATTGACAACATAAACAAGGTACAGTGACTTGTTACCGATGTAAAGAAGTTAAACAGTCATTTCAGGCTCCTATTTTCCATTTAAAACACAAATACTCTATCCTGCAAACAAACATAAAGAGTCAGGATAGTGACTGACTATGGGTGGGGTGACTTAGGGGTTGGACTTTGTGTTCTAGTAGGGTCAAGAATTTTCCCTTCTCTGCACTGTTGAGACTGGCTCTAGGTCCCACCCAGCCCATCCAATGGGTACCAGAGGCTACTTCCTTACATGTAGTGCAGCCAGGGAGTGAAGCTGGCCACTCAAATTCAACTAGTGCTAAGGTCATGAAAATATGGATCTATGCATTCATATCCCCCATTCGTCTTCATGGCATAGTGCTTAATGACTTCGCCTTTTTCTTACATCCATACAAATGTTAAATAGGCATTTTTATGCAGTATGTAAATTATGTTTGTATTAATCATTTATCTGTGTGCTCTTAGGCAATAAGTTTGTAAATTTGATACTTACACACACAATTAATTGATTAATTCACGCAGTTTAAAACAGGGTTTCGTTTGGTTTTTTGCCTGGGGATGAGTGGCTTAAGGATTCCACCCTCTACTAATAAATGTCAGAAAGTTGCGTAAACAAGATATTTTCATGAATTAGAAGAGGGAACATCATGATGAAAAATTAGCCTGTGTACTAAATTCAGTTAATTAATTTTCATAACCACTCCCAAGGCAAAATCCTGGGCACAGATATCCATGAATCAAAGGCTACTGACAATTTTTTTTTCATGCAATACGAGATGTCACAGTCGATCACCTTCCTCCCCCTGAAGGACTGTCAACTAGAAGTATGTATAAAGACAACTGAAAAAGAAACTACTCACCCATACATATCCATGTATCAATTTACATAATGAAATTCCAGATCTTAAATACCGTTATGTATTTTACATGCAAATATGTTTGCACATGTATTCCTGTTCTTCAGAGTTAATCTGTTGTCAATGTGAAAGTTAAAAGTTCGTGAATCGAAGTTCAATTCACGTCACTGGTTACAACTTTCAACTTTTAACTTTTAAGAACTCGGTATATTAGTGAGCGTAAATCTGGATAAGATACAGGGTCAAATGAGTGAAAAGTTAATGTAACCGCGTGTAATTATACTGCCGTGTTCATACACCTGAGGATGACCTCTTGAGGTCGAAACATGTAGTGATAAAAAAAACGTGCTGTGTAGTCGGTGAATTCACTCTACTATTGATTAAACACACAACAGGATGCAAGAAACGATTAAAACTGTTTATTTTATTGCTAGTGGGGTGGGACTAAGTTCCTTGTACTGTGGCCACTTCTGGCCTATTGTACCAGTACCAGATGATATTGTGAGGGTGATTGTGGAGCAATTGGTGGAATGAAGATTGGCAGCGGAAACCGAAGAACTCGAAGAAAACCTGCCCCAGCACCACTTTGTCCACCACAATTCACACTTGACCAGACCCAGGATCAAACCCAGGCCTCCACAGTGGGAAGCCAGCGACTAACTGCTTGAGCTATGACGTGACCTTTTCCATCACTGATTCTGTTGTTCCATTGGCTCTAAATGAAATATATTCTTGCCTCTTATGCACTGAAATCTGAGTAACGTCTTTCTTTCGTGCTATAGTACAGATATAGTACACATAAAAACATATATTTCTGTGAGTAAGACGACTGCAGTTTGCCTGAAGGTTTATGCCATGCAGTCTGGAAGAAGTTTACTGAGGTTCCTCCAAAATGTTAGCAGACTTTTCAGACTATGTTGTGTCGCATCCCAGAACACAGCAAACTTCATCAGAAGCAATTATTTAGATAGTTACATTAATATTTCATTATGTTTTACCTGTACAAAGATCAAAATCCTTTCTTTGTAGCAGATCCAAGAAATCCTTCTCAAATTGTTCTCCTAGGCTATTCATTTTGTCCTGAAAACATAAACATACCAAAATAAGTACTGAAAGTTGCATCACATATGTTTTCTATTAATTGAAATGCTCGTCTATTTAACACTACTTTCTGTTAGTATACTGAGTGAAATATTTAATAAATTATCTAGGTATGCCAGTATCACAATGCCAGTGTGGACCTTCACTGGAACTGTATTTAGATATTCAAAAGAAAAATACTACATGGAAAAGTTCAACAAATGATATTCATGGAATAGCTCTTTGGCCTTTCGCAGATCCTCGTTCATTATTAGTATGCAGCATTGTACGTACAATCATAATACTCTCCTTATTAGTTACCACTGGCAGTGAATATTCCTGGTAAGACATGTTTCCACCCTCTCTGTGCTGTCAAAACATCTAAGTATGCTATTTGTCTGTGATATGTGACAATTAAAACCTAGCAATTTTCTGGTGCTATAACTTTAGCAGATTTAAAACTTGTCTGTACTTTTTAAATTAGCATCTGAGAAAACTGCTGCAGAGTACAAAAGCATATCAATTCCATTCAAACGTATATAAATCAACTGCCACTGGCCTTCAGACACATATACTCACAGTCAGTTCTGTTCTCATAAATTGTACTTCCTTCCTCAGCACATCAACTTCTGTTCCCGTGCTGTTTGTGATAGGCCAAAAGAGAGACACAACTTGTAGCAGTTGATATGCTGTTAGTGCAACTGGAATAAAAATGTAAAATTATTTAAATGTATGAGAGAAACAATACATGGTGATAAACAAGGACTTAAGCATATATACCATGGAATACATTCAGCCAAGAAATGAATGTGACGGTATGTTTGGTAGATATCAGACAATTCATTGACATACATCATTGATGGCCATAATCCAGATTCTGAAAATATGAGGTGCAATCAGAGAGCAATGCCTTATGCCCTTCTTCCTTCCTCATAAACTGTAACTTACTCTTCACCTAATTTTATTTGGGAGATCCTGAGTTCGAATTTCGGCCCAGTGACAGGCTCTCATGGCAAGTCGTTCGAGGTTTTTTTCAGTCCCTCCGATCATATGCCTGGATATTACCTAAAAGTAAGCCATGACCTTTCCAAACCATTATGCACCCTAACATTCGCCGCTGTACAGGATAAGCTATTAACAGTGTAGTTAAACCAAAAATAAATAAATACGTAATATTAACATCCTCATTTTATGCTACTGCAACGTTATTCTTTTACTTCTATTTAAAAGAAAATAAGACCGCAACCACGAAGTCTACTGCTGTACAATATTCACACAGGAACAGCTATCTTTAACATGGGTTTGTGTGCAAAAAGAAGGTACTTTATGTACGCGTTTTCGAGTTACGTGTAATTTTCCAGAAACGAAAACTATTCAGCCGGTAATAAAGTTCGTTTTTTAGAACGCATGTAAATTATAATCGTATTTTTTCACACACGCAAATAATTATATATAATATCCTCAACGCCTTAACTTAACAAATTAGTAAAATGATTCACCTATTGAACATAGCAGCATAAAATGCAAATGAGGTGAACCAAAGCATGAAAAAGTACAAGTATTTCTCAACACCCTGAAAATATACATCCACTTGGTATCCCTAACCCATTTCATTGAACAAAACTATGTGAATATCCCAACCTGTACCCCATAACCTAACAACAACAATCATAATCAAACGACAAGTCTCTTTAAGTGAATCTTTATTTTTTCATTTACTTGAATTCTTACCCGTTTTACTTGCAGGAAAGATGCAACTCAAATACTTTGATGTATATGGAAGGAAAATATTGAAACTGATCTTAAAAATACAGTGTCAGAAGATAGTACTCTTCGAATCTTCTGTAATCGCCATATCCTTCCACGTTTTAACAAACCCGGTTGACATTATATCGAAGACAAACGTTTCCTTTCACATGCGAAAAATCAGTGTCTCAATAATGAAGCCACCGATAGACATGAAGTACAAAACGACAACCCATTTTCAAAACTTTAAATTACGCAAATACCACAATTAAACTGCCTTCAAGATTAGTGACGATTTTGTAAAACCGCTAACTCGTAAGATATTGCAAACGTACCTGGGAATTATGACTGTATTACTTACCAAAGCACAGCACTATAATATAATGGATGATTCTGTGACGATTGCAAATAATTTCTTGATTTGTGTTACACGCCATTTTCTGTCGTTTGCAAATTAATTCTGAACTTCTCCGAATAACTCGAGCACGCTCCAAGTCTTCTCAGTTTGCTGTTTTCGCTAAACGATTCTTAGTAACGCCTTTCGACAATGTATATTAGTGTGCTTCCTTCCACACGTCCTTCCTTCGTAACAAATAACTGAGAACTACTTCAGTTTCGTAGCAACTGGTACCTTTTATAACTTTTATCGTACAATTGAAAACATGCGCAATCTTCGTCTGCGCAGACCACTGCTGCCATCTGTTGGATGGACTAAAGGAAGAATTCAAATAGCTAGATCTTACAGGGAAGAGAATGTACAATACCTAAACTATCCACTAGAAAAAGAGACTTGGGAGTTTGTTTTTAAGCAAAATTCGGCAAACGAGGCATACAATGATTTTTAGGTACTTCACAGTATTGTTGTAGGATTTGCCTAGCAACACCTGTTTACTCGCTTTGCCTAGCAACAGCTGTTTACTCGCCGTTGCTAAGCAATGATACTTGCGTTGTCGCATTTGCTTGAATGTGGGCAATTCTCATATTACGATATAGCTATGCCTAACAAAATGGTAAAAACTAAACAGCAGGAAAATAAACGGTTTATCTCAGGAATAAGGGTATTGGAGAATAGTCTAATGAAAGAAAGAAATATGCCAGAAGAATTTAAAGAATACTACCGTCATCACAAAAAATATACAACAAAATTATCAGTGAAGCAAAAAAATTAACTAATAACACGCGAATAAGAGCATCAGGGAATAAATCAAAAGCCACGAGGGAGCTAGTTAAGGAGGAACTAGGTAAACAAAAAAAGATCAACGAAGAATATTGAAATAAGCGAGAATGGAGTAAATATGCAAGATCCATAAGCTATAGCCAATGTCTTTAATGAATACTATACCACTATTGCCCAAAAGTATTGAGTGGCAATCCATTATAAAAAACCAATGAAGTTAATGTCAATACAGTAAAATATGATAGTAACAGCATGTTCTTAACCCCAACTACTGAAGAGGAAGTGGCAGGCATAATTAAAGGATTGAGTAATAAAAAATCAACAGGAACAGATGATAATCCAGAGTATATTATTAAAAAATGTTATCCTAAAATATCAACTGCTTTGACACATATAATAAATGTCACTCTCACCTGGGCAGTTTTTTTGATCAACTAAAAATTGCAGAAGCGAAACCTTTGTATAAGAAAGGATGTGATACAGAAGTTGTGAATTATAAACCAGTTTCATTAACTTCTGTTTTTTTTTAAAAATAATAGAAAAAATCATACAGAAAAGACTTTTATCATTTTTTAATAATCACAACATAATTAACAATAAACAGCATGATTTCTGTAAAGGGAAATCAACAAATACTGCAACTGCAGAGTTTATAGAAAGGGTCTACAAATCACTGGATGAGAGGGAAAAAAGTATAGGGATATTTCTGGATCTGTCAAAGGCATTTGACTTAGTTGAGCATGATATATTGCCAAGGAAGATGACAAGAATGGGAACAAGAGGGAAGAGGGGTTGCACTAAAATGGTTTCAATCATATCTAGAAAACAGGGAACAAAAAGTGGAAATTATGTACAGATATAAAGAAACTAATGAAATCACTATCTATCTATGGCGAAGGAGACCCATAAGACATGGAGTCCCACAAGGTGCTGTTTTCAGACCAGTGTTGTTTTTGCTATATAACAATGAACGAATCAATGCATTGAACATGGAAGAACGTTTTTTGCTGACACTACTAGTATTCTTATAACAGGAAATAGCTCTAATGATGCCGAAGGGAAAATAAATAAAACAGTAAATGCACTCACAGGGTGGCTTGAAAGGAATAGATTAATCATTAATAAAGAAAAAACAACAGCAATATCCTTTCATCAGCCTCAAAAAGTACAAGTCAAAAGCCTATCAATAAAGCTCTATGATACAGTCATAGTGCTCGCGGCTTGCGCGCCCCATTCCGATGGTTCGTTGCGTGCGCGTCGCTTGTTCGAGGTGCACCAAATCATTCCGCGCATCGCTTGTAATGCCGCGTTACAGCCGCGGCGCACTCGTGTATTCCTACCTTTAAGTCCTCTCGCCCGTATCCTGTTGGTTTGTTGACTCAGGTGTTATAAGAATTTATTTCCTAATCTTAAATGGCCATCACCGTTCTGCGTATTGCCTCGTGAGCTGTAATGTGTTCCTATTGGCAATGAACGTCAGTTAAGTTAATGCAGCTCGGACATACGTATACTAGTGCTGATGTTAGAAACCCGGTCGTTTAGGATATGATGCCGTGTAGTTTTGTTCCGTATTTTGTAGTAACTTCTTGACTCCATCTCCACATTAAAGAAGCTGTTCTCCCCTGAAGGACGGGAATATACATTCATCCGAAACGTCGGCACCTATTTACTGAACTACAAGATATCACATACCAGAAATTAGCTGAAGAGATGAAGCTCCTGGCATGTACTCTGGACGTAGTAGGTTCGAATCTCAGGCCGGACATCGGCTGTCTTGTTCGTTTTCATCGTTTTCCTCAGTCTCTCGACGAAACTGTGAGGATGGTAGCTCGAGTAGGATACAGCCGCTTCCTTCCAGATCCTCTTCTATTATTCTTTCATTGTTCATCTTATCATACGACGCTATATGGTGTAGATTCTGAAACAGCGTTGCTCAATAGCCCACAAAAATACACGACGGCACATCCCAGAAGTTTGCTCAAGCGATGACTCTTCTGACTTGTATGTGGAAGGCACTGGATTCCAATCCCAGCCCAAAGACCAGTTAACATAACGGAGGCATTTATACATCACATAGATGAAAATTTCGATATAACAGCTCAAATTACATCATGACCTCTCCCGTCCACAATCTTCAATTAATCAATCCTTAAATCGTCCTATCATTCGATGCTACATAACTTGACATATTTGCAGCGTCGTTAAATAAACCTTAAATAAACACGTCTCAGATGATCGTGATGTTATCGTCGAGAGAATGTCAGACATGTTGTGGCGTGTAGAGCCGTTGCTATATAAAGACCGCGAGATGGGCAGATATACCATGGCCGTTTCTGGGCAACGGCCCGCTAAACACATTCTCGCGAAACAAGCAACGGAAAGGCCTTTACTAGGCAGCAGATTCTTAATAATGCAACCGTTGGACAATAACAATGGAACAGTATTGTTTTTCTACGTAGTCCGTGTCGAGAGTTTAATTGCGGTACAACGTTAGAGATTAGTTGAGGCCCGTGTGGTGGCGAGGTCGAATGCCTGCACCATAACCCTGAAGGTTGTAGAAGGCGACGTAAAGGCAACCTAGTGCCTGGGGTTATAACTGGGCCACCCTGTTCCTGGGGGATATAAAAATGAGGACCTGGCCCTTCACGTTGGGTATCTCGAATCTGAGACATTAAAATGTGGTTATGTGTCCCGCGGGACTCGGACCCGAGAATGACGAAGGCCAAGGCCAGCAGCAATTGTAAACGACAGACGCATCCTCTCGTCAGAGAGGATGTTACATAAGTACTATGACCTCAAAGGTTCAGTTGAAAAAGAGAAAAAATCTCTGGCCGTGGGTCTCAAGGGGCTTTGCACCAACATAAACTGATTGGCGGTAAACTGCCGGTGGTAAAGTAACTGTGACTCTGAGGGCCGTGCCATAGCTCAGGCGGTTAGTCGCCGACTTCCCATTCGGCGGTTCCTGTTCGAGCCCAGGTAAGATCATGTGAGATCCGTGGTGGACAAAGTGGCACTGGGGCAGGTTTTCTCCGAGTACTTCGGTTTTCCTGTCATTCCACCGACTGCTCCACACTCATCACCATCTACCAATCGGGACTGGTAAAATAGGCTAAATAGTGGCAGACATATCAATTGGACTCACCCTCACCCCACCCAAACAAACCAAATGAACTCTTAGCTCAGGTGAGTTTTGTGTGCGAGTGTGAAGGAAGGAGTCGGTGACAGCTCCAAGTGTACTGAGTTGAAAGTCCGTCTGTGTGTGATATTTGGAGTGTGTAATTCAGTGTAACCGTTATAGTACCTGTTTTAAAATCCTTTGCAAGGAAACGGCTTGTGAAGACTGTAATAGACTAAGGACACTAGTCTGTGTATGTCTGTGATCTGTAAAATATAGTCACGAGTCTTGAGTGTATAAGTGGTCAATAAATCGAATGATCAATCCAAACCCCGTCTATAGTCATTCTTACACGTGACAGTATTACTCTGTTATTCCTAAGAGAAGAACAACAAGGCTACATATAGTGTCTGAGTGTAACATAAAGCTTCAGAGTTGAGCAGAGTTGGTTAGCATCGTATGAAAATCACTCATTAACACTAGTTTTTTTTATACATATTTTGACATGTTGAGCAAGGGAGAAACCCGCCCTCCAGCAGTGACGCGGTCGGTGAGTCAGAGCTCCGTCACCCCCCTCCGCACGGTGACGTAACGCGCAACACGCGGTGACGTAAGACGGCGTGAGGTAACAGCGTTGCTAGGCTATACGCAGACACTCTTACGTGGCACGCAACGACGCTGTTGACGCGGGCAACAGGCAACAGCGAACGGAATAAAAGCCGGCTGAGCAGTAAGCGTGAGTTGAGTTGTAATGTGGCTATCGCCGAGTTCAGTTGTAGTCGAGTTAACTTGTAGCCGTCCCCGGAGAGAGTTGAAGTGAATCAGCCGCCGGAGTGTGTTATCAACAGTTCTCAAGGCAGCAGCCTGCGAGAGAGTTGGAATCTAGCCACGGCGAGTTACGAGTGAAAGTATGTGATAATCAGTGACAGTTTGTGATAACTGAGAATTGATTGGGAGTGTGTGATACAGTAACACTTATATAGCTCCCGTACTGTGAAACGTGTAGACTACTGACAATAGAGTGAATTGAATATTGCGAATAGGGGTATAAGTTGTGAAACCCCGCAACATTGTCATAATTATTTGTAGCCGTTACTTGTAGGTTGTTGAATAAACCTGTTAACAATCCGAACGGCGTCTTCAGTAACTAAACACGTCACAATATTAATAAATTTCTTAATATGTTTTGTTCATTGAAAAATCTTTCATTTCTAGAGACATTTTTATAATAACATTTTATTGAAAATATTTTCATAAAGTTAAACTCTAACCTCCTCCAACTATGACTCTCAAATTTAATTTCCTTGAAGATTCGAGGTTGTCACGAGAGCGAATACCAACTTTACGATCTTTTTGGGTGTTGTGCAACTCGCTCTTTCATATTCACTGCAAAATTTTACCCTGAAGATGGAATGAGCGGGATCTCCGAAATACTGATACATATCTACGAAACTACATGGCATCAGATCCCAGAAAACTGTAATCTTAACTCCATAGAACATGTATCGCCCCTAACGAATTTACGTTCGGGCAACTGAAAACTGATATTTAGTTGAACATAAATTTTCAGTTTCATGTTCAACCATTATTTGACTTTGTTGTGATAAGTAACGTATTGCATCTTATATTTTATCACATAACTAAACCTAAAGATAAGATAACAATACCAGGATAAAAGGTTATCTCTGCACACAAAATATTTTAACTCTTTAAAATACAGAGTCTTCAGTTTATGACGATGTGGAAGCGACAGCTTGGGTGGTTTTAAAGGGGAAGCCAGCAGACTTTTGTTATGTGCAGCAATAAACAGGATTAGAAAGAATACACTCCATAATTCAGTACACGAAATTACAAGCGGCGTTGTCCGGCGTATAATATCAAAGCTAATTAATATTATAATAAGAAATGCAAATTAGTGAACGTCTGTGAAAATCTGTAAGGGTGCATTGCGTATTATATTTATGGCCTGATGCAAAACCATTTTTTGTTGTGAACCAACATGGTTGAAAATTAGATATTATAATAGACTACTCCAATGCAGATCTTCAACATAATCGGTGGAATTTGTTATGGATCCATTGATGGCCTTGTGCGTAAATGTGTCTTCATGACTCTACATGGCTGGAAATAGGAGTTACTTGACATCTTTCTCGGAAAGCCTCCCACTGCCCGACAAGCGTTCAGTGCGAGTATCCAACATCGGAATGCAAGGCAATCTGGCCAGCTATTTACGTATTTCCCCCTAGTTTGCAGACAACAGGAGACAAATGATCTCAGAAAGAGGCGTTGCTTTATATTTTGCAAAGAATTCCTAATGAATTCAATAAACTCCCAGTATGGATTCAATAATC